GGTTTTGTAGACAGCACTCAGTGTTAAAAGGGCTGGTGCAGGTTATCTGGCCTTGGCCCATGGACCTGAGGGAAGCTGGCTCCATGGGCCGAGGCGAGGGGCTACCTCAGGACCTACTGAGCAGCTTCCATGTTCTGTTTTGTCTTGAGAACATGAAAAGAGAGTAAGCATGAAAGGACAAAGGTAATATAACAAACACCTACCTAGATTTGACATTTTTGCTTCAGGTGTTTAAATTATAAACAAATGGGAGCATTAATACAGACAACGGTGGAGTTCCATTCATTCCTCTGCAGTGCCTTTCTCCTTCCTTCCACCCTGGGCGGAAACACTACCATATGTTTAATGTGTTTCCTCATAATCTGTTTTCATATTTTAACTGCACATATGTGAATCCTTGAATAATATAGAGCTGTGTTGGATGTGTATTTTAGAAGTATATTTAAATTTTGACATGCCGTAATATTCTGCAACTTGCTTTTTTTCTCACTTAATGTTATATTTTCAAGATTTCTCCCTATCGATATTTTTATTTGGCTCATTTCTTTTCAGTGCCAAGAAGTGTTTCGTTGTATGACTGTACTATGGTTTAATAACTTGTTCCACTGTTGATTGGCAATTGGTTATGTCTGGTTTTTCTGTATTACAAGAACATCACCGTAAATGTCTTCATGCCTGTTTCCTGAGGCAGGCACGTGCCTGATCAGCTTTTGGGTCTGCTGGTTAAGTTCAGGTAGGCCCAGACCCATCCCTTTGACCTCTTGGGTTTTTCTGAGTTTCACCACACAAAGCCCCTTAGCTCTGTAAGGAAAAGAAAGTTTGAGGGGAGCCGGGAGGGACAGAAGAGGTGATCTGATGAACAGAACTGGCAGTCGATGAAGCCAGGACATGGTTTGTATTGTCATCCCCACACTCCACCCCTACCATTCTTTCGTTCTTGTTTGGTTTTTATTTTATGTTAATACATATATCATAACACCATTTGAAAAAACTGAAACATATCTATGTCACCCACATTCCTACCTCACTAACACGACTGTTTTCACTTTTCTAAGTCCCTTTTGGTCTCTCTGTCCACACACTTACACATTTGTCCATAGCTGTAATTGTACACATAGCGTTGTGTATTCTGTATTTTCTACTTAACAATACGTTTTCTATTTAACAATACATTTTCCATCTTGCCACAATCTTCATAACGATCATTTTTGTGGTCACATAATATTTTGCCTTGCCAATGTGCCCTAACCTCCTTTTTCTGTCATAGGGTCTGTTTTCCCTTCCATTTCTCTTCTCAACTCCCAGCAATCTTTGAGTGCTTACTCCCAGCCCCTCAGATCATGTTGCCATCTGGAAGCAGAGAGAGAAAGCTTTCTGAGTCGCAACCCTCCCCAGCTTCTCTGCCCCAGACTCCGCCACCAGTGCCATCTCCTTCAAAACTGCCACTTTCCTTGGCAGGAGAAAAGCAACCAAACTAAACTATGTGAAAGTCTCAGAGTACATGGCTTTGAGATTGTTTTAAATACTTACAAAGAGGCTCCTTCCAGGAGGAAACAGTTGGAGTAGGCTTCTTGGGCCTCGTTCTCCAGCTTTGGAGGGAGATGGTCAAGGGAATTCTTGGGCACTGTTTGTGGTCCAGCACAGCTCCCCAGGGTGGGAGGCTTGGGGCTGAAGCCCTCTCTAGGAGCCTAGAGTCTATGTCCTATGCCCAAAAGTTAAGCTTCGGATGGTGCAAGTAAAAGAACTTCAACCCCAGGTTTGGCAGACGTGCCACTGTAGCTGGAACTCTTGCTGCGGTGCTGACATCATTTCTGTATTCTGTTTCTTTAGCTGACTTTCTCCAGCCAGCATGGAGGTTTCTTTTTATTCTAGAGCAAAGCACCAGTCTTCTGTACCTCTGCCTTCTTATGAGCCAAATAATCAACATAGGGATGATAAAAAAAAAAAAAACGATGAACTTATTTATAACAAGACCTGATAGTTATGAGTACTCACTGTATACCAGATACTCTGCTAAAAAGCATCTGTACTTGTTATCTTTTTTATTCCTCACAACAACCAAATAAGATGGGGACTACCCCCCACTTGATGGCTAGGGAAACGAGGCTCTGAGAAGTTAAGAGACTTGCCTAGATCTTCCTTAGAATTCTATCTGTGCTTTCCCCTCAACCAGCCCAGCCATCCCAGCTGGGAAATAATAAGTTTAAGCGAAGCAGAGATGAGCTGCTCCTTTTCATCCCCTCCAGAGAAGCCCCTTGCTGGTGTGGAAGTTATTTTGTATAAAGGCATCGATTAGAAATTTTCCATTCCCTTTAAGTTTCCCATTAGAGGCTTTGCCCTATTTTCTCCTTAGAAGTCTCTGCTTCAGGGAACCTGCTTCAGGGGAGGGAGAGCAGGGAATGCATGATGGGGGAGGAAAGGGAAGGGGTGATTTTAATCTAGGCCTCCTTCCCCACAGTCTTGGGAAGGAAGAGAAGAGGGAGGTGGGTGGTGCAGATGCTGGGGCCTTCCTGTGCCATAGTCACCAGAGTCCCCAACCCAGGTGCTGTGAGAGACCCCACCAGTGGGTGGCCCAGTAGAAAGCAGCATCTTTTAGAACAGGCAGACCAGAGTTCCTGTCCCAGCTTGGCTACTCGTTAGCCAGATGACCTTGGGTGTGTAACTTGACCTTTTGTAGAAGGAGGATAACCGTACTTCCCGTAACCATCTGTTAGGAGGATTGAGGACTGAGTGGGGTAGTGTCTGTTGTGCCTCGCACAGAACAGATGCACTGGAGAGGCGAGCTTCCCCTCTCTCGCCTGCTCACTCATCTCTGGAGGAAAGCTTGCACTTAGGGCTCTCAGGCCGAGCTAACCAAGATCTGGTTACAGGAAGAGGGCCTGGCACGGCGCATGTCGATTCTTTTCCCCATTCTTGTGCCACAAATGGGCTTCTCTGGGTTGAATCTGACTGGCTATTGTACCAAGTCATTTTCTACGCCACAGTCACATGTGCCTTGTTATCTTGGGCTCAAATACATGGGTCTCGGTACTCAAAGCACCAAATACAAGCAGGGACTCTGGTTTTTCATAGTCGTGGGGAAGGTGTAGCGAGACCCATGGCCTGGGGAGCTACTCCTTGGTGGAATCAGCTGGGGACTCCGGGTCCTTGCCCTGCTGTCCTGGTTCCCACAGGCATGGACTGAAGAGAGGCCCCCGAGAATAGTCCCCTGGAGAAACTGAGGCACCAGACCAGGAAGTAGACTTTTTTGCCTTCAGATTTTACTTTTCCTCCTTTCTCTGTCCTCTGTGCTTGCTTGTCCTCTGCAGACCCAACTTGGCATCCTATGTCTGGGTTACAAACAGAACGGCTGCTGTGTCTAATCATAGCAGTGGGTGGGCCCTGGTTTAACCCAACACTCGTAATTGCCCAATTTCAGGAATACACTGATTCTCTGATTAAAGAACTTCACCAAAGCATTTTTGAGAAGGGGCATGGTGATGGGGAGGCTCTCATCTACAGCCAGCTGGTCCATTGTGGCACAGCCCCAACTTCAGTTAAGGCTGCTGACTCAAAGCCCAGCCCAATCTTCGGAGATGGGGACACACCTGATGTGAGCCCCAGGCCTCCAGGGGATAATGTGCAGCTGTGAGGATGAGACTGGAAATGCCCAAGCCTCCTGTGCTCCAACACACAACTTCTCCGGAGACCTGGACCGCTCTGAGCGCGTCTTAAAGTCCCACGGGAATGGGCCGCGATGTGGTGGGAATGGCTGTCCTCCAGAACCCATTTCTCTCTGGGCCTGTTCCTAACATGTCAAGCCACTTCTTCGAATAGGTGTGAGCATAATGAATTCATTTATTCCTTTTGAATGTAGGCCCACCACTGCATGCCTGCTCTGCTGGCCACCACGGCAGATTACAAAACACCAGGGCCATATTTCTGGTACCTCAGCGTCCCCCTCAATGAAAAGTAAAATGTCAGTGGAGCAAATTACCGACCGAATGCTTTGGAATCTATAAATATTAAATTGCTCTGGCTTCCACTGGCCCACATAAAATTAAAGCTCTGGTCAGCTCTGGAGGAGATGGTTGGTGGTGGGTGGCCACCTCCTGGCTGGAGGAGAAGCAGCGGGGTGCAAAAAGCAGGGAGGTAGAAAACCCAAATGCGACTATAACCCAGGATAGAGTTTTTCTGATTTTTCATTTGAGGCTTTATGGTTGGGGGTCTGTGGGGTTTGCTGGGAGCTTCGTGTTGCATTTCTTACCCCAGCCCAGGACCGTAATGTGAGGGCAGTGCATCGCCAGCAGTGTACTCCCTCCAGGGACTGTCCCCCTTAGAGCCAGTATTGGAACCTCCCCAGGCAGCAGGCTGGAGATTGGGGGTGGGAGCTGCTAGCTCGCTGGCAGCCAGCTGTCCTCCTCCTGTTTTCCTGCTGTAGCCCCTGCCCCAGGCACCTTTCCGACATAGCCCCCTTACCTCATACTCACACTGTTTGGGGGGGTTCTGTCCTGTCTGTGTGAGGACTCCCAACGCATGGTTGATTTGTGCTGGTTTGTGCATCTGTAGCAAGGACACTTCCTGAGAACGTGTTTTTATGCCCCCTTGGTTTAGTTTAGTCTCTTAGCAGGCAGGGGCAGCATCTCCTGCATCTTTGGAATCTGCTTAGAATTTAGTGATTGCTTCCATGTGCCAAGACCCTGTACGAAGCTCTTTAAGTGCACGACTCATTGATCTTTACATAGTGGGATAAGGTAAGAACTGCAGTGCATTCACCATGTGGCAGCGGCGGATATGAGGCCCGGAGAGATGAAGGGACTTGCTCGGGGTTCCATGGAGAAGTTACATGCAGACCCAAGGGAGTTCGGCGGCTGTTTTCTGGCTGAGCCTGGGTGCCATCCCAGGGCTTTCTGATTCTTAATCCTGAGCCTGTATCTTGTCCTGGGTCCTCTTGGGAACTGTGGGTGGGAGCTGGCCCCTCCTGCTGGGTCCCGTGGCCAAGCTTTCTCTCTCCCTTGCAGGCATCCCCACCCTCATTGTGCTGGACCCGCAGGGGGAGGTGATCACACGGCAGGGGCGGGCGGAGGTGCTGAACGACGAGGACTGCAGGGGGTTTCCGTGGCACCCGAAGCCTGTGCTGGAGCTCTCGGACTCCAACGCTGTGCAGCTCAACGAGGGCCCCTGCCTCGTCCTTTTTGTAGGTATGAAGCTCAGGGAAGGGAGGAAGCTCAGCAGGGGGAGGAGGGGACCGGGTGCAGGGCAGGCAGCAGGATAGGACAGAGCTCACATGGAGGGTATCTGTCCCTGCTGCTTCTTTCTGTCACGGAACAATGCAGAGCCTGGGCCTTTGTCTCTCCCAGCAGCCTTGCTTTTGACCCCAATGATTTATTCACAGCTTTCCCACTGTGGGAGGTGTTCTGGGAGCTGCTGCTGTGCTTGCCTTCCTAGCTGCTCCTGACTGCCAGCTGGGAAGAATAGGTCAGGCCCATTGGATGCCCTGCTCCCCCACACCTCATGAACAGACGCGTTGTTGGAAAGAAGCAGAGCTGCAGCAGCTGCAGGATCTGGACACCCTCAGGCCCGGACTCACCCAGGGTGCTCCTGCCAGTCACCTGTGTTCTGACCAGTTGCCCCCAGGGCTTCCGGAGCTGTCCCAGCCCCTTGTGGCCAAGTGCCCCTCTCAGTCTCCACTGTCTCGCCTACTCTGATGCTGAGCTTTGGGTCGAGAGGACACAGAAACATTTACTCTGGATTTCCTACAGCTCCGTGGGGTGACCCTGAATCCTTGTGCAAATGGAGCAGTGGCTTCCCAAAGTCCACCTCACTCTCTGCCTTGGGACTTACTGCTCAATTCCAACTCAAAATAATTCTGGGTACTAGGATCATGGCTGAGATGCTGCCATACCCACTGCACTGAGGGGGTTTGGGGGCATGTACAACATCCTACCCCCGTTCTCTGAATGTCTGGTATGGGGTCCCCAGGGGAGCCATATGCAGACTCAGACAGGGAATTCTTAAGCAGACTGATTTGCAGGCTGGTCCTGTGCTTAGAAGACTGAGGCCCTCTGGGGAGAGCCGGCCTTGGGACTTTCCTGACTGCTGTAGGCTCCCACACCCATGTCCTGGGGCCTGGGAAACAATTCTAAACTAAGAGACAATTGGAAACCTCACTGGCCATCTGCAGATATGGACACAGGGTCCCACAGAGGCAAAGGGTTCCCAGCATCACAGAGCTAATTAGATATGGGTCTGGAATGTATCCTGCAGAGTCTGCACTCCGTAGGCCTCTTGGGCTGCATGGCATTTCTGGGTGAAGGTCATCTGCTGGTACCTGCTCCCCTAACCTCCCCACCCCCCACTCTGCCACTCTTGGGGAGTTGGTTACAGGGTTCAGTAGGAGTGAGCCCTGTGGCCCCCCAGCATATGGCTAATCCTATCCTGCTATTTCACTGGTGACAAGAGATGTCTCCCAGGGGGCCCTGGGGATACTGGTCCCCTGGTTTCCATCCATCAGCCTGTTTCCTCCCAGGGGATTCTGGCTGCCAGCTGTGCCTCCTCACCAACACTACTGACCAGACTATAGTCCTACCCACCACCACAACCACCACCACTTCTGTCATTTTCATTAGGAAATCAAGAGATCCAAGGTCATGGCATCTCATTCTGCGATTGAGAAAATCTACCAGGACCTCAGGTCCTGGTTTAGGGAAAACTCAGTTTCCAAGGTGGGTTTGTGATGAATTCAGTGACAAAGATCACATTTGCCTGGGGCGTTAGTGCTACTCAGTGTGGTGAGTTGTTCCTGGGGGTCATGGTACCGGAGTGCGCTGTGCGAGCAAGTGAGTACCTTCGACCCACTTTCATGCACCCAGGAGCCAAGGCCTGTGTCCCAGGGGAAGCTTCTCCATTCAGGGGCTGCCCAATGGGCGTTTCAGGCCCTGGACTCAGGGTCCCCAGGGGCAGCATCTCTGACAAGTCATTGCGCTTCTTCGTGTCTTTCTCTACCCATCACAGATTCTGAGGATGACGGGGAGTCCGAAGCAGCCAAACAGCTGATTCAGCCAATAGCCGAGAAGATCATCGCCAAGTACAAAGCCAAAGAAGAGGAGGCTCCGCTTCTGTTCTTCGTAGCGGGGGAGGTGAGCACCACTGGGGCCGGCCTAGGCCGACTTTTAGAACATGCCCGATGGGCCCTGGGGCATGTTTGAAGGGGCCCTGGGGTCTGGGGTGACAGCGCGTCTGGGACAGCCCACAGACAAATGTGACGGGAAAGGGCGTGTCATCATCAGTCATGAAGACCATTTCCTGCCCCTGCTGCTTTCCTCATCCATCTTTCTCACTCAGCAGCCGCAGAGCAGCAGGATACTCTCCTAGGACAGAGCCCCCTTGTACCGTCTCCCACTGTGGCTGCTGGGGAGAGTGACAGCCACAGAAATCATGATCAACACTCATTCCCTGGGGGCTAGGTCCAAAGCAGGCCCTTGATGTTTTACAGATTGTCTGCTTGGTTAGTCTTTTCCCACCGGCCTGCAGAGTGACTTTTTCCCATTATAGGGATCCCGCTGGGGGCCACAGCTCTGACCTGCAGTTACCCAGCCAGCCCTAGGTTGGAAACTGCTGATATCTCTGTCTTTCACCCAAGGCTTATCCCTTAAAACTGGACTGGATCAAGCAGAGGACTTTTCACAGGGTTGGGAGGCCAAACCCTTCAGTTAGGCCACCTCTGGCAGGTGCCTGCCTCTCCCAATGTGTAGGAGCCTCCATCCAGTAGACATGGGAATCTTTGTAAGATGGCTGCAGTCAGCGCAGACACCATACCTCGGTCCCCACCCCCAAGAGCCATCCTGCGCATGTGCTCTACCGCCTCCCCCACCCAGCCAGCCAGGCACCCGCCGTAAGCTGGTTATTGACAGATGCATGGTTAGAAGCCCCCCTGCCCTCCTTCCACCCATCTGCACTTTCAGTTGGTCTGAGCCCCGTGCTCATTTCACGCTGTGTTTGGCTCCCAGGAGAGGCAGCAGCAGCCACCCCGAACTACCACCCATTCATCATCTCCTCAGTAGCTGCCTCTGCTAAGCCCTGCTGGGCCCCTTGCAGGCAGCCAAAGTCACCCTGCTTGGCTGTGGGGTGGTGGGAACAAAGGTTCACAGGGCCCTGCCTTGGGGCTACACAAGCCCACTCCACACAAAGCACAAATGGAGACTGCTCTGAATTTATTTAACTCTAACCCCTTTTGAATGGCTCTGAGAGAAAAGATGGGAGCAGAACAGGAAAGGCTTAGCCAGGTTGTGGGTGGGGCTGGAGGGCTCTAGAAACTGCTGTAAAATTGTGGCTGAAAAGGAGCATTTGCAAGTTTTCTACATACCAGGCACCAAGCCAAGTACTTCCCTTATACCATCCCGTTTGTCCCCACCTCTCTGGCTGGGGACATAATCATTACCATTTCACAGATGAGGAAAGAGAATCTCTGAGAGGGTGAGAGACTGCTCCCCATCTCTGATGGCTGGGCTGTGAGTGTTCGCTGGCTCTCACACCTCGCCTAGCCCCCATGTGAGCTGGTACTAGATCCATTTTACAGGGCATGAGACCTGGGCTCGGAGAAGTAACTTGCCAGATCACACATTAAGTAGGTAGCAGAGAGAGGAGTGAATATGAGGTTGCTATGACTCCAGAAATGGTGTCCTTTTGTCCTTTGGTTTGGCAGACGGACAGGCCCAGGCCTAAAAGGAAGGATGGGACAGAGGAGCCTGGTCATCCACTGCTCCAGTTCCCCACCTGGCCACCCCGTCCTTCCTGTGCTCTTCACCTGGGCTCTTAGCCTTGGCAGCTCTCTTGGTCCGATTCTCTGGCCTCGTGCTCAGAAGTAAGGCCACGTGGAATGGTGGTGGGCACAGGGCACTGCAACATCAGGCACTGACCGAACGGCTCTGAGTGCAGAACTCTGCCCTCTCACATTCCACCAGGGCCACGGGGGACCCCTAGTTTGTCTAGATCCTATTTGCTCTGGCAGGCAGAAATCTTCCCTTCTGAAGCCTGATAACAGACATTAAAATTCATCTACCTGTGTTTTGCTCAGAGGGAGAGGGAAGGGGAGGCAATGGGAATTCAATGTACGGTATTTGTCCAGGTGTCTCCCTCTGTTTATCATGAAGATTGTTTATTAACCAGTATGGAGGGCCCGAATTAGGTGAACAGTGTTGAACGTTGAATCACCCAGCACCTGCTGGGAAGTACATGCTGTTTCTGGGGTGGGGGAAATAATGCGAACACTAATAATCTTCCTAAAGATTTGCCCTTTGAGAAATGAATGTCTTTAGTCTCAGAAACTGGTGAGCTGTATAGTTTATGCATTCCTGGCATTTAAGGCCAGGAATACCCCACGCCTTTTCTCTGCAGGGCAACTCATGTCTTTTCATTCAGTTTAGAATATTGCATATTTTAGTGTGAGATCTCCTTTGGATGGGTATGTAGACTTCATTTTCTGTTACCTACCAAACAAGGATTGACAGCGTAAAAGGTAATCTCAAATGGTTGCTCCCTTGGAAATCTGTCTCCTGTCTTTGGATTTTCATGTTTGCCTTTATACTTAATAAGGTTACATTTGATTTTAGGGGAATTCATCTGGACAGTCACTGGGAATATATGATAAAGGGCCAGCTTCCTGCTCAGATAAATACAGCGCCCCATGCAAACTTCAGTAGTACTTAGCCCTGTCTTCCAGGCTGGCTGTGCGGCTCCTGCCCCCTGAAACCACAGGGGTGGGGTGGGGGCAGTTCTGTTTAAAATGTTCCAGAGCTGAGGTCCAGATGGGCCTCAGGTAATCCACAGTGGGGCTGCAAATGATTCAGAGTTGATTGCAGAAGTAAGTAATCAAAGGACATCACATTTTTACAAAGCAGAGGACACAGAAAAGTTACCTTCATGCTAATAAAGAAGACTTGCCTGGAAGATTGGGCTGATGCAGAGACAATTTTATGAACCAGCCTCCTTCTCTGCAAGGCAGGGCAGGGTCCACTGCTCCCCGTTCTCAGAGCCCATCTTTCCTGGAAAGGGCCCGCTCTTTAGGATGATGAGGGATGAGTTCCATTCTTTGCCATCTGGGGAACCTAGACCCAGGGGACTCTCTACTGATTCTTGAAAACTTACTGGTTCTCTCTCCCTTCTGGTGACTTCCAGGATGATATGACTGACTCCCTGCGAGATTACACCAACCTGCCCGAGGCTGCCCCTTTGCTCACCATTCTGGACATGTCAGCCCGGGCCAAGTACGTGATGGACGTGGAGGAGATCACCCCTGCCATTGTGGAGGCCTTTGTGAATGACTTCCTAGCAGAAAAGCTCAAACCAGAGCCCATCTAGTGGGGCTCCGGCCTCATGAGACGTTATTTAAAACTCAGTCTTCTCCTCCTCCTTCTTCCCTTCCTTCCCTCCGCCCATGGACTTTTCCAGCGTGTCCTGAATCACACAACCCAAGTGTCCAACCTCTCTGTGGTGCCTTGTTTTCTGCATTAACTCCTCAGCTAGCACCCTAGGGTGCGCATCCTCTCAGCAGCAGAAGAACCCACCATGTTTGGAGACTCTGCTTGGGATTGACAGGGCTGCCGTAACCTGGCCAGAGCTGGGGCTGCATCACTCTCTTAGTCACCAGCTCTTGGTGAAGTATCTTCCAGGGTGTTCTGCCGAGTGGGCGTGAAGGGACAGCGCATTGGTGCTCTGGCTCTGCCTCTGGTGTCAGCATGCACACGCAGAGCCGACTCAGCTCAGTGACACAGGTGGAGCAGGGAAAGGGCTGCAGCCTCATTAGGCCTCAGCTTGGAGCTGCTGGTGGGAACATCCTTTCCTAGGTGACTTAGTCTGTCTTGGTCTGAGGGCAAAACACTAGCTTGTCAGTCAGTTCTTAGGCAGGGACTACCTGGATCTCAAAGGAAGGTTGTGGTCTTTTCTGGTGAGAAAAAGAGTAGCTATGGTAATGATTCATATAGGAATTGCTTACTTTGAGCTCCTACCATGTGATAAGAGCTTCTCATTCCTTCCTTCTCTCTCTTTCTTCCTTGATCTTGGCCTTCTCTAAGTTTCTGTCTTCTCATACAAACAGCCCCTACTAGCTTGGAATTTTGTTAATAAATTCTTCCCCTTGGACATCGTCCCAAGAAGATGCACTTGGCCCTGGTTCTTGAAGGAATGCTGCCTCACCAGTGCAGACCTCAGCCCAGCTCTGGGCCTAGGGCCGCTGGAGCTCTGGTGAGGTGGCAGTGCCCACCTTTGGTTACCCCTGCCATTCCCTTTTCTTTTTAAAGCAGAATTAAAAAGAGACGAGAAATTACCAGAAGCCTAGCTTTTTCCTAAGAAGCTGCAGAAAGAGCTGTGCCCCAGGGTATGAGTAAGGGCAGAGGACATGTTGATAAAGAGTAGGCCTTGGAGCCACTTAGCTAGACCCAGGTAGCTCAGCTTCTTATTTGGGCTGAACTGACTACAAAAAGGAAAATTTCAGCACCTGTGTACTAAGGATTTGGGAAAGAGGGCTTTGCCTGGGGACTTTCAGGATTTTAGCCTATCTCAGCCAGCCAGATGTCAGAGTCTTTAAAACACTTCCAGGCCTTACCCCTGGCTCCACTTCACAGCACTCTGCCAACTAAGATCATTTATTTGGAAAACCCAGCTCCCCCAATTAGCTGTAACACCATTGCTCCTTGCCAAATTGAATTGTTGATTTGTAGTTCAGAGGTACAAAATTAGTTGGCAATTAGACTATTACTCGATGTCACCAGCCTGAAATGCAATCACCTAGTAAGAAATAAAGCAGGCATCTCTGGACGTTATCAACCACTTGGCCTTTTCTGTCCTTAAAAACAAAAACCTTTTGCTTATGGTGCTGTGCTCTTAGGAGGTGGACAGTGGGATGGGTTGGGGGGACATATCAGATCCTCTTGACTTTCATTGGATACCTGGGAGCTATGCATCAGAATTTTTGAGAACTCCAAGACCTAACACAGTCACCCATCACATCTTCCAGAAGCTAGAAAGTTCATTTGAATTAGAGCCAGAGCTCAGGCCTCCATCTCTCCTGGTTCAACTTGCCCTTGCTGGGGGTAGATTCTCAGATTACAGACATGCTTGTGGATTCTCATACTCATTCCCTCCTTACAATGGAGCAGATGCTCTGAAGCCTGAGAAAAACAGGTAGGGAAACACAAGACCCAGATGGATCTCCCTGTGCAGAATGGGAAAATAGTTGGAGACCCTCAAACTGACTTCTACCTTAGGGCTAGAGGCCCATCTGGGAACCTTGCCAGTGTCTCCTTTGTGGGGTGGGATGGATGTGGGAACAAGGTTGACCTTGCTTGGAAGATGGCCAGGGGGCAGGGTTTCTGTCTATGCCCTATATTGGGATGACCTTGGAGGAAACAAAAAGTGGTCTCTCTTAGAAGCTTATCTTCTGGGACAGAAGGTGAAGTCCAGTGAGGAGTCATTTATGATCCTCCTATGTCTTTCACAGGGCTGACTGAACTACTTGCCACTAATGTGAACTGGATTCTTGATTCCAAAATTCTCTTTTCAGAGTAGGCGTGAAGGTTAGTTAAGATCAGTGAGAATGTTTACTAAAAAGGTGCTTAGTTTTATATAGTGGTGACTTTGGGGGGAGGAATGCGGGAGGAGGATCACTTCACCCCAGTGCCCACGAAATAGCCACATCTCAATAGTGTGAGGGATCTTAAACGTTATTGATGCAGACGAAGTGGGTGGCTTCTTAATTTCCACTAAGCATCTCTAAAATACCTTAAAATTCTTGTCGCTAATTGGAAGCAGGTTAAAACACCAGCTGTGGCACATTCAAGGGCTTCCGAAGGCAGCTAAGGGAACCAAGCCCTGCAGGCTGAGGCAGGATGGCGGTTGTAAAAATGCCACCCTGGGGTTCCAGGTCTGTGTTCACCTCGATGACTTCCAGATCCCGTTGTAGCCTGTTTTCACAAGAGGTGAGATTTTTTTTTTTTTTTTTTTACCTGTCCCTGACAATAAAGATCTGCTTAAGATAAAGGGTATATGTTTGCATTGATATTACAGTGGGCAGCTGCAAATGCCAGTGGGTGACTGAAAACTAGCTTCCTTTCCAAGAGTGAGGTGGCTGCCTGCTATGTTTCTTTCAAAGAGTGTGTCCTCGAAATCAGTAGCTCTCACTTATCTGAGCACAGGGAGCCAGTACTGCTTTTCTGGCATCAGCCAAGCTTCCAGTGGTAATTTTCAGCCAGACTTTGTTTTTTCCTGTTGCCTAATTAAAGACACTGAAAAGCTGTTCTCTCCTTCTGCTGCCTTGTTCTGGGGCAGCAAACTGAATTCTGCAATGACGTAAACACAAAGTAGGATATGGTCCAGGAACAGATCCACCGGATCTAATAAGCTGTTGCACTGTCACCTTAGGGAGAAAACCACGTGTGTGCATGCACGTGTGACAATGCTGTACACTCGCATTGTAGCGCTGGGAAAGACGTGAGCGAGTGTCTGGCCCAGGCCTCTCCAGTCATGCAAGGAGGGGTGTGCACACATTCTAGTCAGTGTCATTTCCTCTGGCCAGCCTGGGCAGGCCCGTGCTTACGCAGTAGGACTGGGACACCACTGTAGTGTAGTCTGTGGGGAGGCTCAGCCATGTTCTTCACAGCTTCTCTCTGGGTGCTACAGTGTGAACTGACAACTAACCAGAGGCCAGGATCTTTCAAGTTCCAGGATCTTTCAAGTTTGCCCTGTAATGGCTGTGTGGAAGTGAGCACTTAGCCCACATCCCTCTTTGCTGATACCAACAAGGACAAGAGCACCCCCCGCTTTCCTCCAGGCAGGCTGCTCAAGGGAGAATTCTTTGGGGACAAATAGCTGTTGTTTATTAGCTTCATTATTTCTGCTAATACTGCATGTGCAAAGGATGAAATATTTTCCAGGAAACAAAAGGTTTTATATTCGGTCTGCTCTGGGGCTGGCATTTCTCCTTCTGGGGGAAATATAACATTAGGATGCTCTGGGCACACCTTATATGTGAAAGCATGAAGTAAATATGCTTCATTTTCAAGGCATAAGTATGTCTCCTCCCTTGGTGTTTGGAGTCTCTCCCATGCCAGGAAATGTATTATTAGATTTGGGTAGGACTTGTTCTGAGGGACTGTTGGATTTCCATTAAATAATGTGCCAAGACATGAAAGCCTCTGTCCCCAGGCCCACAGGCCAGTGGGAAGCCCAAAGGAGAGACAGCCTCAAGTCTGGATTTGTGGGTGCTCGTGCCCCACACAAATGAGTCACCCACACAGGCTAGAACTAGGATAGATATAGTAGGAGGCATGATCTCAGGACCAGGGCCAAAAAATAAACCTCCTTTAGACATCAGAAGACATGGGAGTGCCCAACCAATCAAGAGCTACTCTGCCAGCTTGCAGTCAGTATGTGCCCTCATTTCCCATTAAAGAGGTACAAGGGAGGCTGGGAGGCCAGACCCTGCTGCAGCCATGTTGCCTCCCCAACCTTTGTTCCCTTCTTGCATTTTGAAGCAGCAGCAGCTTTGGTGATGGCCCTCACCAACTAACTCTTAGGCTTCAAATGAAAACAGCTCTTTCCTACAAAACAAGTGCAGTAACAAAACTGATACTATCCATGTGTTCAGATTCCTCAGCCATACTGGGCCTTTGAGCAGCAGCCCCAGCTTCCTGAGGCTTTCAGCGAGGATTGTTTGCAGCTGCTTCAATGTAACATGGCAACCTAGTTCAGAGACTAAGACATCCAGAGCAGTCATCCTGGCTCATTCATTAATTTGGCTTCTAGCTTATTACCTTTGTGTATTAATTGATGAAAATAGACAAAATAAGACCTTGGAGTTTAAAGGTGTCTACATGAGTGTTTTTCCTAAAAAAAAATTTAAAGGTGAGCCAGTCAGGTCTGCTCCTACAGGAGGGCAGAGGTGGCTCAGCCAAGAGGGAGGATTCAGGCACTGCAGTGCAACTGGTAGTTTTCAGCACTAGCCATGGTACCATGCATGGGTGAGGTGCTATCACCGAGGTCTTTGGTGGCAGAGTGACAAAAGTGGAGCTGAAAGCAACGCATCTTAGATGGTGGTGATATCTGGTGTTGCTGTTAATCCTGGGGCAAGTGGTAGGTCCCAGGTGGAACCAGTCCTGAGGTCTGTTCATCTTCTGGGCTTTAATGATGGATTGTAACCAGAAGCTGGCAGCTGTGACTGGGGAAAGAGGAAGTTTCAGCTCTCCCTGCCCTGAAGCTCCAAGCCAAGGGTGAGGCAGAGGGTTCCTGGTGCGGCATGAGGACATCAGCATTTGCCCAAAGCTGTTTTCCCAGAGGACCCCAAAGGGGAAAGTTACATTAATTTTGTTTGCTGCAGCCACTCCCCATTTCTGTGCATTTTCTTAAATTTTTGGTCCAATGCCTTCCTATACTTCAGATTCTCTCGAATCAGTGACAACTCGATGGGTCTCTGCCTTCAGCACCTCTGAACACAAATGGCTTGCAAAATGCCCTGTGGTGGAGAAAGACTTTTGACTCCATCCTTTTTTCAGTAATTTAAATCCAAGAAAAATCCCCATCCCTGTTCGGGATTGGGAGTGGTTTTGAGGCGTGGCTGCCACCTTGTGGCAAAAATCATATTACAGCTATGCTCAACACAAAGGCAAGGGGCAGCTTGGTCGACCTTCTGACAGCTGCTCTTTCAGCCAAGCAGTGTTTTGCTTGTCATATACTGCTCAGTTCTTATTCTTATTTCCTGGGATAAATGGTGACAGAGCAAATGTTGGCCTCAAAATTGAGAATTCAAGATAGTGATTTTCCAATATCACTCAGCAAACAACTTTACCATTTGCTTCCCCTGTAGTCATTTTAAAGTAAAAAAAATTTGTCCTCCCCTGTTAAATCATACCCACAAAAATACAAAAGGAACTCACAAGGCATGGCCTATAACAAGAATGGGATGTAAATTTCTTTTCCGTCTTAACCCCAGGATGATAAAATAGGCTTAGAATTACTTGCCAGGTATGCTGTTTTGCATTGTTTTGTTTTTCTGAACAAGAACAAGGTAAAGGGTTTATTGTTCTTTCATTGACTTATTTTGTAAAAAATATCAGGAGGAACAGTAATCCAGGGACAAAAATTGCAAGAGACTGGTTTCATGCCAGAAAGGCATGAGCTTCCTTTGATGACTTGTTTCTCTAGCACTTTTCCAAAGGTGTTGAGACCAAATGTCAATAGACTCAAGGGGTACAGTTCTCTGGGCTGTCTCCCAGATTTAGCATTATGGCTATGAAGCTGGCAGGCTAGGCCGCAGCCTTTCTGGGCTCAGAACTCTAGAAAGGCTGTGGGCTCATCTACTTTCTAAAAGCTAACGGTCTCAAGAACAACCTGTGGCCATTTGCATTGGACATTTGTGTGGGGCCTTGGGCAGGCCTGGACCAGAGTGGGGCACCAGAGCAATGGCTCCGGCTGGTCAGCCTGGGAGAGCATAGCCAACCAGAGATTGTTCCTGCAAAAACCCCTCCCCTCAAACATACCAAAGCAATCCCACCCTGCCACTTTGGGTACAAGCCATACTTGCTCTCTTAGTTCTCTTGAGAGGAAGTTTTACCAGGGAGCTGGGGGAGCTGATGGGGAAGAAAGGGTGGCTGCAATTTCTCTTGGACATGCCGGCAACCTGACCTCCCCGGAATGAGCAGCTGAAGGGCTCCCAAGGAATACTAACCATTATAGGAACCACTGTACGGGAGGGATGTGGTAAAACTACAGTTAGTGTCATCCTCAACTCCAACCATATTCTGTGGTTGCAAAAGCATTGCTTGAAATAGGTCCCATACTCCAGTCCCACCCACACCCTTCCCACAGTGATTTAAAACAGTGATTACCACCTGCATTTGCCCTTGTGTCTCTGGCTACATCCCAGCTAGCACCTGGTAGGTAAGGATCTAGCTTGCCCTGGTTCCCTGGGGGTTTGAGAGAAGAACAGCAGGGTCTTGCTACAGGGTTGTGGGCCCAAGGGCCCCCAAGCTCTCATCCTCAGAGCCTCAGCCTCTCTCCCATCGAAGGAGCCCTCTGTTTACACAGCAGCCAGGAATGTTGGCATATTCCAAGCAGGATCTGTTCCTCTATATGGCGGGGAGAGGGGATTAATGTAAATAAGGAACTCAAGTCATTACATTTAACCAAAAGTGTTAATATAAATTCAGACTGACAGTAGGAAGCTAGAAAGAAGGGTATGACTTTCCTGACAAGATGCAGAATTAGGCTGAAGATTTTAAAACTGTTTCCTTCTTTTCTGAACAGAGTCCTCAAAAAGATATCTGCAGAGGTGCTACAAATGCATAACGCCAGCTGTTTCGCCAGAAATGGGCAGGGGGGATTGTGTTACACATATACAGTGGCTGTTTACATCAAGACTTAAACAAACAATTGCAAAGACTGACACAGCCAGAATGAAAAACCAGCTAGCTACTGAATGCCATCACCTGTAGCCCATGTGTATATATATTTATATATATATAAGGATTTTGACCTTTGTTATTTTTGAGGATAAGCAGAAATCGATGGGAACTCTTCCTTTCCCAATAACCATGCAATAGCATCACCCTACCTGCTGCCTCCTGAATTTGGCCTGAGAGCTAGTAACCAACTCTACCAACCTCCTAACAATGTAGGAGGAACTGGAGACAACCTCAAACCAAGGACTGACTGCCATGTCCCCTCTCAGTGGTAACTCCTGTCTCTGCTCAAGTGTTCCGCCCTTAACCGCAGTTGTCTTTTCCCTTCAAAAAGTAAGATGCTGGCAGCCATGGCCGAGTTCAGGCTGTCCACACCAGGCACGACAGGGATCAACAGCCTCTTGCCCCCAGTGCTCTCAGCCAACTGCAGGGACTCCAGGCTCACGCCGTGGGTCTCCCCACCTATGACCACAGCTGCTGGTGCCTCTGTCCAGTCCAAGTCGTAATTCTGGACCTCAAGTTCAGGGAGCCAGCCTTTACTGTCCCCAGTTTCTGGATCCTCTTCCTCCTCCTCATACTTGTGAAACTTTGAGAGTTGTCGGTCACACATCCAACCATAGTCACTGGCTTTATTGGACTTCTGGGGCTGGGCATAAAGGCCACAGTTGTCAGCTACGTAGACCCGGGTGTCGGTGGGCAAGTAGCTGGGCACCACTTCCCAGTCCAGATTGTTGATAATGGGCACCTGGAAATGCGCACCCATACCTGCCCGCAGCACTTTGGGCTCCCAGGCGTCCACACAGCCTAGAAAATAACAGGATCCAACCAACATTACAAATCTCAAATGAGGGGACTTTGGAGTAAATCAGATTAGTTCTAGATTAGGAGATAAAAAATGTCCTATTGTAGCCTTGATAGCTGGCACCTCTGCCTCCCAAGTAATGGCAGTGTCCAGCAAAGGGACTGTAGGAGGAGTTCCTGCTAAAGCTGAAACAGATGTTATTCATCCTTTCAACAATTACCACACACATGTGCCAGACACCGTACAGGAGAGGCAAAGAGCATTAAAGACTCTAACCTCAAGGAGCTCATAATATAAAAGCATGAACAGGGTAACAGGAAACCCTTGTACAAAGCAGGGCTATCAGGAAAAACATCCCAGAGAACATGACACTGAATTGGATCTTCAAAAATAGGATCTTGGTAGAGCAAGGCCCAGGCAGAGGACAAGGTTACAGAAGGGGGAAGAATGCCACAGTCCAAGAACTGTAAGTAAGGTGGATCAGGCCAATTAATGGGTGAGGGTGTGGTGGGAGGCAAGACGAGAGGCAGGCAAAGACCAATTTAAAGGAAGCTGGGTATGCCAGGCTGAGGAGTTTAGGATTTTATCTAAAAGACAGTATAATGCCATTGAAGGATTTTAAAGCAGTGACAGAATCTGGTTTATGATTTAGAAAGACACATTTGGCTTCAATGTTGAATCTGGATTGGAACAGGAAAGATACCAGAGATGGGAAAATTAGATTAGTGGCAATTTGAGTAATCCAGGCAGAACCAAAGCAATGGCCTTGTCATTCACACACACACACGCCTGCTCTTACACCATAATAAGAAGGCTGAAAATCATTCTTTTATGTATAGGCACGTGCTAAGCCCAACCCCTTCTATGCATTGGCAGACACTTCGCCTTTCCCAAGATCACAGGCTGGAAGAGAGTAGGACCAGGGCACCACAAATCTACCATCCTCCCCTGACTTCTTAGCACAAGTCTCCTCATTACAAGTTAGTTTTAGAAGAGGGGTCAGACTCATGAGGCAAGCCATCTAGTGTGACCCCCCTAACTGGTAGTGAGTACAGGGCAAGATGAAATCCCCCATCTTCATGTCCTAGATACTGGGCAGCACACCATGGGTTCCCTACTTTTTCCTACTCTTTACACACCAGCCACCAGCAACAATGAGAAAACCACTACTGCTTGGATTATACAGGTACATTTTCAAAACAACACCTCTCAGAGCCCTCAACAATGGGGTGGGTAAGCTGGTACTAATAATAGCTCTCACGCTGGCAGAGAAATGCGCTCTGACAAGGTGTGCTTGGGGAAAGAGGAAAGGAGCAACTTAGGCAAGTCTCAGCAATGGGTGCCACTACTAGTTTACATTGAATGGTGAGTAGCTTGAGTGTTTCTGATGAATGATCCTCTCCCCTTAAGTTGTAATAGGAATTTTAGGCATGTCTCAACCAACTGTGAGGCAAATCTGTTTAGAGCCAAGCCTACTAATCCCCATTTCTGATGAGAGGAGGGGAAAAAAAAGACGTAATGAGGCTAATTTGTGTTGGGGGGTGTTGGACTCCTGGGTCTAAAGGAAACATCACACTGTGACAGCATTCTTTTCACAGGATTCAAAATGTCAAGAGTGACAAAGGTCTCATATGCCCAACAATTTGGGAACTCGAGATCATTAAGTAAAAGACTTAAAACCAAGCGTTAAAATTGGCATCACTTTCTTTC